TCTCTGTGCTCCACTCTACTACACCCCTAGTCATTTTACTGGCATCTGTTGAGCTAAATGCTGTCAACCATAGTTCTAACAATGGTATAAAAAACAAACAAAGTATTTATTTGCAAATCTACATATTGCAATTAAGTCTAACTATCATTAATTATACTGTACTAATAATGAAATCAGCAATGTACAACTTTGACAATATTAAATATCCACCTAAAATAATGAAATCAGCATTGTACAACGTTGACAATATTACGTATCCGCCTCAAAATAATAATAAGTCAATTTACCAGTATATTGTAATTATCATTTTTTTAAATAGATACAATTTTACTAAAATTCTAACTTAAAAGATCTGACTGCAGAGTATGGTATGATTGGTTAAACTCACTTCCACTATATGTGCAGATTGAGTCACTTATAAAAAATGAAACTTAGTCCTAATTAYAAAAACAMTGTTCTAAAGAAATAGAACTTTAGYATTTTAGAGCAAAGGAATACATGGAAAGACAATGAGAAGTGTTTAGTCTGAGTTGTCCTTTGTCTTGTTAATCCTATAGCACTAAAGTACAAAAGTTCAATTTCACAAAGTAAAACAAATCATTGCAAATTATAGATTTTCAGTACTAAATGCAGCTTAGTGAATGCTGTTCAATTCTGTGACAATKCCTTGTTTGAGAGGTTTCCCTAGCATCATTATGTTTACAGGAACATACTCTCCTTTATTACAACGATTACACTAATATCTTAGTCTTTGTAGCCTAGAGACCTTGCCAAATTGGGCCAGAAGTACTCTCTGGCTATCTTGTTGGTGTAATCTAGATGTGTTATGTGTTTGAGTATTGCAGGAACATGCTTTCTGTTATCATACACAATAGGGATTAATCTCTTCTCTTTGCATCCTGAATAATAAAATTGTGGAGAAYGAAAGAAAAACAATATTAAGGAGAAAAATAAAGAAAAATCACTATGGGGTTTGGAAAGAATTACAGCAAATTTTGCTATGAGTTCTTTGAATTTAGAAGCAATTCCAAAAACTCATTGTCATATAACTTTGGAAATGCTCAMGAAATTATTCATTTTTGAAAAAATATTAGACTCATGTCTTCTTTGATATAATAATGATGTTGTCCTTATTCTCTCTATTCAATATCCACTGATTTTTCATCTTTCATTCATTAATCTATTCACATCCAATTCATTCTCTCACCTCACACTTGATAAGTAAACAAAATAAGGCTACATCATTCGATATTAGCCTCCTTTGCAGACGTTATTAGTATCGGTCATAAATTCCYGAATTTATGACTGATACTAAGGAGGCTACATTCGATATACTCTTGCCCCTAAATTACTACAAATCTTAATACATACCTGGAGATAGACTTAAAGCTATTTTTGCTTGAAAGTCAGCATCTACATCTTCAGAAAAGTGCTTTGATATTATAACTATAACCTTACGACATCTTTCCTCAATAACATTGACAACTGTGCTCAATTTTTCTCCYCCAGGCAAGATATCCCGATAATCGATGCAAAGTTTAAGGTGATAAGGTTTAGCCTCCAATTTACTTAACAGTTCTTTTGCAAATAACACATCCCTTTTGCAATAACAGATAAATGCATCATACTTTTTATCAYCAGGGAGAACTGAAAATCAAACAAAAATGGATTAACAGCTTACATGCTCAAGAAACTCTTTTTTTTTACACTGCCTATGTTACTGCATGGAGAAAACCACCCTAATCACCTACCTGTTAAGTCCCCAAACTCCTCAATTCTGGCTTTTGCCCTTTCTRYAAACAAAGAGTTCAATCCACGATTGTCATAATCTTAGCAATTAGGAAGAATAATTTACATATTTTATGAACTGTATATTCAAAGCTTACATAAACATAAACTGACAATATAACTTCAACATTATCCTTTATTCTTTGCATATATACATAGAGAAAGTTTGTTTTTACCTGCATACATTCTCTCATATTCCGAAGGAGTCGGTGTCTCCTCTAAAATCAAAAATCATTTGCATTATAGAAAATATAGTTAATTCTAGTAACTTTATTAGCTTGTGATACTCTCCAAAACATTCTGAGAGATTCTGGAGAGACTGCTTTAGTGTTATAAAAAGGAAGCAAGATTTCTTGCTTTTGGTTTACAGGCACAGCGTCCCAGAGCCTATCGTGTGTCACACAATAGGGTCATTGTACAGGAATAGATCTTTTTGGAAATGTGAAATATTGGTGCATAGTGTTCTAGCTGCAATACAAATACCACCATAAATATTTTAGCTGTGCTGCAGAAACAAAAAAAGATGTTAGACCGAATCTAGACCACAATGCAATGCGCTATGTTTGTGAGACAAAGCCTTAGCATCAGCATTTGATTCGATTGGCAAAGACAAAATGTGCCTTTTGTTTCTTCTCTTTATCCTTGAGAATGCACTCCAACAACTCCATTTTTAGTATAAATTTTAAGCTTATTACAAGGAGAATTCTTGCGGTTGAATGCACTTTTTTGATCACTATTCTTCTCCTCACTGACACCGTGAATGTACGGAATAAAATAAAAATCTCCCAAAATACGCACTTGCTTATTAAAACAGTCATTTTTACCTTCATATGTTTTCAAATCATCTATCACATCGAGACGTTCCATCTCTAACAGCTTCGATTTGAGACAAGCAATTGTAAGATCAAGACATCTTCGATCTTTGAAGAGTTCCAGAACAGGTTCATCTTTAGTCTCAAGATTTCTTATTTCCTCTGTAGTAAAACCCAACTTTTCAGCTAGCAATTTATAGTTGTTTCCATTGATCGTTTCGGGCGAAAGAAGCACAGCGAGACGAATATGTCCTTCGTACGGCATATGTAGCACAAGCTTTTCTTGTAAGCTTACCTTTGTCCTATCCGACATCTTTGCTAAACAAATCAGAAGTCAAATTCGTTAACTTYAAATTCAGCAAACAGCAGTAGATTTTACAAACTAATATTTCTGTTCCGTGGTTTCTTGGAAATAAAAGCGAAATTCAATTATAAGCTTCTTTGAAGTCGTGAACCATGAAAGACAGGAAAGGGAGTGTTTCGCTGAAATAGAGCATCTTGAATTCGCAGAATCGTTGAACAGTATAGACCAGGTCAAAATAAACTCGATACAGGAAATCCTTATAACACCCACGCTAAAATACAACATGCACAAAAAATGTTTCACTTCTGCAAGCAATATGAAAGCGC